AAATTACTTACATTATACATTTTACATCTAACATTTTCTCTCTCTAATTCTTTTTATTTCTCTATATATTTTCCAAAACTAAACTCTTTCCAGAAATAAAAGCCCTTTTCAAATTACCAATAGATAACTTTGTAAGAAATTAAATTAATAGCTGAAGCTTTCTCTATGTCATGATTATATGTTGGAAATGAGACGGTACCCATCTGAACTTTACACTATTATAAGTTTTCTGAAGACCAGGGCGCCATAAGATGATAGCTTCAGGGAACTCTGATAATACCGGAAATAAAGGCTAACTCCTCTTTTGATTCGCATCGTCTAATATCGAACATGTAGGCTCGCCGTATGAGTCTCATCCGCAATCGTTCTTTCAAAGACGCCGCGCGCACATGCCTGTTTCCTTACATTTCCCTGGAATCCTCGCTTTTTCCGACAACGCAATGACGCCCCTTTGGCGGAAGATAAAAGGCACCTCTCTCTCTCTCTCTCTCTCTCTCTCTCTCTCTCTCTCTCTCTCTCTCTCTCTCTTTCTGCGAGATACGGGGTAAAGAATAGCAGGAAACGTATACGTTTCTTTCGTATTCTCTTTGAGGATAAACACGCGTAACGGCACGCCTCCGTATCAGAATGGAAAAATATTCCGCGCCTTTCCTCTTTCGCTTTTCTTCCAATGCCTTTCATTTCTCTTTTCCATAAAAAAAAAAAAAAACAAAGAAAAGCGTTAACTCGTCCTCATGCGACGGGCAGAATCGTTTCGCCGCGTGTGTATCGCGTTACGGGATAAATAATTATCCCGCGAATCGAAAACCGCGAAGGATTAATCGGAAAATAATTTCGTTCCTTGGCTGCTGCCGCGCGCGCGGCCTTGCGAGCGGCCAGTCTTCTATTTCGCATTTCACTTTGATCAACGTGCGCGATAGTACCTTGCGAAAATTGTGTTACCTGCTGTTTTATTCTAGTAAAAGCACGTAGCCGGCCGAGTGTAGCGCGTATCTCCGGCGACCGATGGCATACCGATGTATCGGCAATCGAGCCGAGAAATTACTGTCTCCCCATCCTATCCTCCTACCCCCTCTTTTTTTTCATCGATCGTTTGCTAGTTTTTACTACGATACCGCGCGTACACGTACGAGCGTCTCATTAACGCGCGCAGAATAATTTCCGCTCGGCCGATACCAAACGCGGAATTACAAATATCGGCCCGCAGAGGGGAATTTAAAATTATCTCGTCATCGTCGAATAAAACGACGCGACCGACGCCGCGGAACGTTACGTCGCAAAATTATTCTAACGAGTTCGTCAATATTAATGGGTTCCGTGATGTAATGTGCTCTTTGTGCCCCGTGAAATGCGCGTTTACAATAACTTTTGTTGCACAAAGTGGTATTAAAAGCACAAAATGCATTTTCCCATCGCGAAGAAAATACGCGCCGACAGACCGTATTAATCATGCATGTCCGTTGTTGCCCGACGCGGCAAAGAGCGTCGTTATGCGTCTCGTCGTGAGATAAATTGCGGACAGACGCGGGAAAATCAGAGATGGAACATCGAGCCACAGTCTGAAATTCCGGTCTGAAAGACCGCTGTGCGAAAATTATAAAAACTGACCGTGATTACACAGAAACAAATTCTATTGAACTTGCTGTAGTTAATCTATTTTGTAGAATATGCGCAAAGCAAGATGTGCGAAAGAATAATTAGAATCAAATCGTAACACCGTGAGTTCCCAGTTTTTTCAAATCAAAACTGTAATTAAATCCAATTATAAAAGTTTCGCTACGAACTCGGAGTCGTTAAAAAAAATTAAGGATTTGTTGCTTCTACGCGCAGAAATCTGTTATCTCTCAGTAATTTATTTGCGCGAGCAACACTTACGTCCGTGTTATGACTCCAGGTCATCGCCGGAGGTGGTTCGGGGGCGTATTTTACGACGCACGTCAGATTGATGGTGCTGCCCTTATTGACGAAGAGGTCCGGCGCTCCGATTATAATGGTTACCGGCTCTAAAACAAAGAAAAACGTTCGATTTGAGTGGCCTGTAGTTACTCAATGGTCGTGCAAGTGGATCGATTAAATCATTTGGCGACATATAATCGTCGTATATTTTTATCATATTCAATATTTTTATCGCTCGATAGTCAACCAACCCTCAATCGAGTCCATCATAGAGCGAGCTTTTGGGTCAAGTTGCGCCGATAAGATTCTCTTTACCTGCTTAAAGTATCACGGCGGTCATTAACGAGATATCTTCAAGGATATACGATATCTCATACACACTCTTTACTTAAATATAAATATGTGATGCACATGACCCGCCCCGTTCTTTTACGTTTTTCTAGCAAATTCTTAAAAAAGATGTTACGCAATTTTAACATAAATTTAACGCAAAAATGATTTTTGAAGTGTTAATTTAAGATTCGGAAAATAATCAGAAAGTTTTAAGATGTAAGAGATACATATTGCTTTCTTCGATCGAATTTTCGCCTACAAAAAATAAAAAATCAAGGATTTCCATTCCATATATATATATATATATTTACTTTCTACAATTCAAGACTAATTATGAATAGAAATTTTTTTCGCATATAGCTCTTAATTAAACGATGTTTATATTATACGCAAGCCAACTAGAGAAGGTACTGCTCTGCACTTTCTTCAACTAGCGGAAAACTTTTGAAGTTATATTGCATCCAGCGGAACGTTTGAGTCAAACTCATGATGTTACTAGGAAATTTATATCGCTCCAAATAAATACGTCTCTCAATGAAAGGAAGTACGACTTTGAAGTTTCGTCACCGAAGTGAAAACTCGGAGGAAATTAGAAATTCGAGAGCGTGTAAATAAGATCGTTAACGAGCATATTGACATGACTTATTAGATATAAGTCACTTCTCGGATTTCATCTCCTTTTTATTTTGCTTCGGAAACGTAAAAATTAATGTTACATAAAATTAATTAACTCGCTCACCGACTATCGTTAAATACACGGGGTGGCCGATGGGCGGGGTCGTAGATATTTGGCACTCGTAAATCCCGGAATCCTTACGCTGAGGATATCGTATCCTCAAGGTCCAGTCCTCCGTGTGAGGAGAATGTAGTGCCTCGAAACGTTGATCGCTGGTATAGGTATAACGACCAACCGTTAATAAATGTATATCTCGGTGCCTCACCCAGGAAACCTGAAACAAAAAAGATATCGTACGTTATTCGCGATGTATAACTTTGCTTTTTTTATATACGGAAAAATGATGTTGCATTAACGTAATAAATTCTAATTAAAAATAGTTTTGTTTATTTAATAACAATAATAAATAAAACAAATAACATTTTATTAAAAGAAGAGCATTGTATCGTGTTTGTTTTATTAATATTATGATTATGAAATTAACAAGATTATTTTCCATTAGATTTCATCCTGTTAACATTATTTTTTTTCCGTCAGCATCACTCTATGTACATACTGTACATAAACTGATGCTGTTAATACATTTTTTTTCATGTATGAATACATTATCGCATATTTGAATTAATAGATAATTCCCAGAGCGCTTGTTATATTAATGATAAAGCAGTTATGTAGAAATTGTTGCTTTTACAAACAGTTTGATTGACATATTTAAAATGCATGGATAATATTAAAGTATAATACGAAAGTAAAGAAAAAAATTTATTACTCGTAATATAAAATTCATCAAGACACACGAATTTTGCGTTAACAGGAATCAAAGTACGTGATGTATATATACATATATAGGCCACTGCCATATGATGAGGTAATAATATACCTATATACATGCATAGGCGGACTGTCAATATCAGGCGCGTTACTGCCCTACGGTATATTTATCTATCCTACAGCGTTGCCTGCGGTTTGCATAATACACTGTTTAATAAATAAATCGAGAGCTTATTTGTTTGTTTAATAGCAACGCTCAATTGCTGTTGAATTTTTACTATCTAAATCGGCAACATATTGTAACCTAGAAACAAATAAATTAAATTCGACCAAACTTACTGAGATTCAATGCAAATTAAATGCACGTAAGTCTCGCCAAATAGTTTCAGCGTACTCAATAATATATACTATATAATTGTATCGCGCCGGCACGCAAAAACGTGGGCGAATTTAGACCGTTGGCACAATTTCATCAACCGCATTCTCCAAAGTATAACATTTACATTTGATTGACCCTAATTAACTCCAGAAATCGACGAAAACCGCGCAACGATCGTATATTCGCGAAATGATTTGTTTTATTTGTATTTTCATCCAACAATTTGAAAAATCAAAAAGCGTTTCGCTGAAATACGAATTGGCTGAACGAGATACGTGCCCGCAATTTCGTGAAATTAAAAACGTACGTAAATAATTCTGTTCACTGCAAACATAAAATAATCGTTACACACAAACGAGTACTTGCATCTTTTTTCTTGGTCAAATTTTTAATTTAAGGTTTACGAAAATGCTTAGGCGCAATAACATTACGTACATGAGAAAAGATTAAGAATTAAATTGTCGATAGAAATGTCAACTTGTCGCTCTATTGTGGCTTATAAAATACATTTTGAATAAACGCTAGCAAAATAATTAACTTTTATTGTTTAATTTTTCGGATATGAAAATATCTCCATCGTTACAGCAATGAAATTGCTCGAAATACGAAGAAAATCATCAAAATCTCGTCTTGTGTCACTTATTCTATCTCTTATGAATGGTTGAGAAGATATCGCTTTCACAGGGTGTATCAAATCATCCTTTTTTCTCGATAATGGATGGTTAGAAAAATTTAAGAGTCTGCTACACTTTTTCCCACTTCTCACTTTATTCCTAAAAGCACAAATACCACCGTTCCCGTTTATCACACAGAGTTTGGTCGCAAAAATTAATTAAAATCCTCGATAATTTTTGACGTTTGAATAAATGGATGACTCATAAACGGACATTTCCTTATTTTTCTCGAGAAATCGTAAATGATATAAAAAAAAGTTTAAGCAAGTTATCAAAAAATTCATCTAACGATCCAACCCTACTCGATATCTATGTTCCCATTAAAAATTTCAAACGTAACCCAGGTTTATCCTTATACTTCCGATAGTTTCCGAAAAACCAAAATGCATTAGATAATTTAGATAGGCTTTGGTAATGAAGATGTTTCCCAACTTACGATAAGTATTTTTTTACCTAGAAAAAAGGATGATACGGATGTATATTAGCGGCATTCAATTTTGCTTGCGCAAAAAATTTTTAAGATGAAAAGTAGGCATTTCCATTCGATTATAATAAATAGAAATAAATGAAATTTTTATTAAATTTAAAAAAAAAGATGTGTTTTTAATGCATTGTTGCGTAAAATAAATGCAAAAATGTATGCATAGTTTACAACCTTTCTCTAGTTTTATAATATTAAATAATATTATAAAATTGAGTAAGAGTCTAACGCGAGTATTTTTCTCCGCGAATATTTTGGAGGAAGAGAAAGTATTTGATCGGACAGGTTGAGCGTACACATCGCGCTTTTCGGATCATTTTACGGAAACTTCGATGTATTAACCGATCGCGGGTTGACGTCCTCTCGACGGGAGTGACGTTGCCATGGAGAGATTCGTTTTGTCCTGGTTCGTCCTGCATCCGGCACCTGCGCCAGCTGGAGCTCTCGAGATGACACGACCGTGTTATTGGCATTAGCGTTGCCGGCTGAAAGCCAAACAAAATCTATCCATCCTGACGAAGCGATGGGGTTGCCGGCGCTGAAGAACGGGATGAGGAAAACAGAGGCGTCGCAACTGTCGTGCCGCGCGCACAACCTAACACGCTGTGCGAATGCAAAATCGGCTTTTGGTAGCCGCCTATTGAAATCGATTCTACAGATCCTGGGCGCCGTGCTGGTGAGGGTTTTCGCGCGATCGTTTCACTGTATACCTCGGATTCAGCTGAATTCTCCGTCTTCATGCAGCTTTAAAGCGCGGCTTTTGCAAAATGGAAGGATTACACTTTCTAACTCGAGCGACGCGAATAGAGTCAAACGCTTTGTACAAAATTGAAAACTATAAATATTTTACAATGCAGAAAAAGCTCTTTCATATATTAAAAAAAATTATAAGTGGAATATTTAATTAGAATTAAAAGTTAGAACTGTATAATATTAACGTATATACGGTAACGCGTAAAAGTACAAATGCAATCCACTAGAGAATGATTGATTACCTTCGGTAGACATTTTCATCTCGTCGAGAACATTTTGTCCGTATATATATGTATATATCACGATGTCACGTTTAATCCACACGAGCCTCGCATCGAGGTGATAAAGGGTTTAAAAGCCACGAGATCGTAGTTGGGGGTCGCGTTTCTAGATTCGCTTAGGCTCATTTTCACAACATATAGTTAACGAAAAGATTAGGTTAATTAAAACTTGAAAGTTAACTAAAACACACTTTCGTAAGCTTATAGTCAAATAAATTAAAGGTTACGGGTACATCAGTTGAGTTGGCATCAAGTTAACTTAATGATTAAGTCCTAATAACACGTTAAACTTCTTGGTAATTTTTAACTTCTATAGATAACCATACATTGTGAAAATGGGCCTTATACGGGACGACTACATCGGGAACGCAGATATGATGTCACGCTGGAGATTTCTCGCATTGTCCCATCTCAGCACCGAACCCCCGACACTTGCGCGCGAGCCCTCGCGTACTCCAGATGACGCGTATGTGTCATTGGCATTAATCGCCGCATTGTTTGGCGAGATTCAACCGAAACCTCCGCATGGCAATGGGCGCACGATACTATGCATGGCGCTCTGCATTTCTGTACGCTCTGTACGACTCTGTGCAGATAGCGGGAAGCGAAAATACGATTGTGCATTATACGGGCGTTCAATGTGTAAGAATTATGTATTTTATGAAATTCCCCGCCTCCTCGCGTCAGATCCAAACATCTTCGTGTCCGTTTTCATAATTTTGAATATGCTCGAACACACCTGTTTTCCAATCATTCATAAATATGTATATCAACTGTTTCGTTACTAATAAATGATTATTATCCACCGCACCGGTATATGTTACATTAATTTAATATTTTAATATGGCAATAATAATTTCATAACGCGATAACGTTTGGAGTTGGTCCAGAATAAATGGTTTACACGTTTACAATATTAACGTGCTGTAAACTTTAAAGCCGATAATCACAAACACTGCAAATGTGTAGTTTCTCTTCGCTTAATCGAACCTTTAATCACGGGGGATTTCCTTTGAGGGCGAAAGAGAAGACTATGATTGGCCGAAACGGTTTTATATACGTATATAAGGATACGTCGATCTTTGTGGGGAGCGAGAAAAAGGGCAACAAGCGCGGCACAGCTTTCTAATAATCTTGAGTGCTTTAGTAGCACAGAGCGTAGAGCTTTTATTTCAGGCAACAAGCAAAAACCCATCCAGAACGTACTGACAGCAGTAATTTAGCTTAGCGCGACTGAAATGAAGTAAAAGCGCGCGACGACGCGCATCTTGAGCGGTAAAATTCCAGGGTTGAGGGATGTATACGCGGGCAACTCATAAAGCTCAAGGGACTTAACTATCAAGGGGTCGCGCGGAATAATCTTGTTCAGAAATAATGTCAATTTTTCAAAGCCGCTTATACCGCGTTGAATAAGAGCGTCTCTCCTTAAAAACTTTTCGTTTGCTTGTTATTGCGTCAACGTTCCTATTTTTACACTAGTTATTAGCTTAACACCACCGAAACGTTGCATATCTATATTTCAAGACTGCACACAGCATATCGATATTCGGTCGTCATACGAATAAATTGGGCATCCAGAACACATTTTGTTCATTCGGTGTAATTCCGCAATCAGAGCCACGCGTTGACAACACGCTGCAATTGCAAACACAATTCAAAAATCCGGGAAGGGGGAAGGGAGGGGCGAGAGGGAAGGTAGAAGTAGAGAGGAGGGGAGGAGGCTTCGATTAATATTCATAAATCATTATGCGAATATATCGCGCAATCATCGAACAGGGCGCAAACATGGCAAGCCGTAGCCCGTGTTTACGATTACGCTTCGTTTATCAACTTTTTATATCATTCGTCGAATCTGCCTGTTAATCAACGATCCATTGTGGATGTTTAAGCCGTGCGTTTTCGATGCGTGAGCGCGATTACGAGCTGTTCCCATGTTTGCGCAATGAATAAACTGCGCGATCGCCAATTATTATCGGAAGGCCGCAGAATGGATATCTGGAAATGCAAAAGATAATCACGCGGTCAATGATTCGCTGTGTGCTGTTATGACGTCGCTGGGATATATATCGGTTCAAAGCAACGGATTTATATACAAGGGTACGCAGCATAAACTGCACAGCATACGATATACGATAATTGAATGAGACCTCATCAGAATATTTAATGTATTCTCCATTTTTATTAATGTAAAATAAAACATCGAATAAATATTGAAGTAAAAAATATTGAAGTATCAAAATAAATGTGTTTATACTGCTGAAGTATGTTAATGAAGGTGAATTCAATTTGAATGTATTAGCATGAAAAAAAGGGAGGAACGCGATGGCACTTCCGATTTAATGTGAAATTAAATTCTACTTCGTGTTAAACTATTAAGTCCTTATTATTATTAACGATTAATTGAAATTCATTAATAATCCGTCGGAGTACTCCCGGTGGAGATTGCCAGAATCGACCGCATAACGACGTTGATCTGTCTGCTGCGAAGGAAAGCCCTTCTCAAGTCGACCTGAACGGATTACGATGTCTCCTAATGAAGACGATCATTATCATCTAATTGTAAGACGTATTTGCAGTAACTTCTCGGTCCGAGCAAACACCCGGTAATGATGCGCCTTTGCGCTCGCAAGCGGCGACGACGATTGATCTTCCGGAGCGCTTATGATAACAGCATCGTATATCACGACGGATCCGATGGTATCATGTCAACGAAGTAAGCTCGAAAGGGAGGATTAAACGGGCGCACGGTGTAACGGAGCTTTTGCAGCAAACTCGAACAACGAACGTTCCGACGTATTTGTATTTTTTTTATTTTTTTTTTTTATTGAGAGCAAATACTGACTTCTTTTTCGATGCTGCGGCGAGTAACGGAAGTACCTCAGCGTGATTCGAGCGCGGTTCAATGAAATTAATCGTCATATCTGTTACAATCGCAACGGCAAACGCGATTAATCCTCAAGCGGAAGCTATCAGGACGGAACGTTTGATTTCCAGGGGAAAGAAAAGATGTAACGGGGTAATTCTTTGGAAATTACCCGGGCTTTATTACGAGCGCACGCAAACCTGAAATTTAGACGTAATAAATATGTGGCTACAGAAGCGCGCAAAGACTATCGATAATGTGAAACCAGTTTCGTGGCGGAGCGGCGTTCTTAAAGAAAGTTACGATCGGTTGATCGTGTGTGGTCATGCTATCTCGTACTTATGCGATCAATCGCTATTTCTTCATTCCTTATACGTTTCTCAATACGTTTATTCGGTGATACCATTCGATGATCGAAACGAGTGGAATTAATTGGGACGTTTAAAAAAATGTGAAAATGTGCTGAGAGGCAGTAATGTCGCCTGTTAAACACGAAGTACCGGCGACGTGACGTGCTCAAATATCAAAACAGTTGGTGCATTCGGTAAAGTCGGTATAATGGCAGAAGGAAAATTTTCGAAGCGATATAATTCGCCGACGCGCAATACAAAAAGAATGCTTCCGCTCACTGTATAAGAAGAGCGGTTAATAATGCAGGAACATAAACGCTAACATCGCCTGCCTTTTTCATGAGACGCCGGCACCGTGCACGATGAAGGAACAGTAATGTTTATTTAATAGCCCCATTTACGTTGGACGAACTGCGCCACGGACTTCGCCGTGTAAGAACAGCGATTTTATATTTCATAAGTGAAGCGTGTCCCTAAAGAGGTGCATTTGTTCGCGTCGCGCGCGTGGTTGCCATTCGTTATTCATATCGTTATTTATACCATAATTATATCAAAGTTGTAATTGCAACAGTATATAAGAAATGCTTGATCGTAAAAGGAAAAACTTAATAACATAACTTTATATGCAAATTAAAATATTAAAAATATCCATGATCGATTTCAACGACTAGTTAAATGCTCTAAAATCTTAATAAAACGAAACAGAACGTGATATATGTACATAGCGATTCTCGTCAAAGAACCTTTCAAGTTTCTTGCATATTTCACGTATCTCAGTAATTCGCGCTTGTTACTTTTTCACTCGATACTTTCGTACGATACGGATGACACTTCAACTTTCCATTCGTGGACCATCGATCGATTAGAAAGTCGTTTAACGAGTCTCTCGATGGCGGGCGAGCGAACGGGCGAATCTGGGGACGTGACGCGCCGTTAAAGTATCCGCTACGATCGCGAGGAAGGGTCGCAAGGTCGTTCGTGCGGCCCTACCCTTAAATTATTCAACAGCGGCGCGGGGGCAGCTGGCCAGCGCGCAGTGTTCGCGTCGAGCTTAAGATATAGCGCCTCTGGTCACGAACCAGACGATGGATTTTCCGATGGCTCACCGTTCGATTCCCCAAGTTCTTCACCTTGCACACGAGATGCACCGTTTTCCCCACCAGCCCAGTGAAGTTTGATTGCATTGAGGTGTCGAAGTGAGGACCGGTGCCCGGCGTCGGCCATTCCTCCAGGAAATCGGTCCGAAAGTTTCGTAGGCATGACGCTATACCACCTGAAAAACAAAGGCGCGTCCTCACGATTAATGCTAATCCCTCAGAAAAAGAAACCATTTTTAAGAAAAAAATTTAACAGTAAGTAAAAATCGATATGTGAATAACACGAATAAGAGCCTTATTCGAGCAGAGCGTATCTTGGTATCTATAATAATATTTTAGACGATTTGAGGATGAATTTGCGGGGAAAACAGATCTATCGTGAATTGTAATCAAGAATAAACTCCCTGACGAGATTATCAGATCAGTCTTGCACAGCGTTCTACTCTTCTTCTACTAATTCTCGTCTTTAATCAATGGTTGAATGATAAGAATATAAGGTTGTCGCAAACTTTCTATCCTATTTTCAAAGCTAAGCTGCCAAACTGGCAACGGCATAATTGCATATCCCGTGATTTTTTTTATATCACGCTTCGTGAATGTTCGTGTAGGTACGCTTAAAGCCGGCGCGGCGCGTCGGCGCCGTCCATGGAATATTCTGAGCATCCGCCAAATCTCGGCGGATTTACGATGTATTGCATTTTGCGAGGCCACTTGACTCTCGAAGCGCGTTAGGACGGAAACTCGGGCATCAGCCCGTTAACATTCGCGTCACATCGGAGATCGTACGCAGCATCAACGTCACGGATTGTCGCGTCACCGTCAGCTCGCGCACGTGAAAGTTCGCGTGGCAGTACGCGAACGGACCTATTTAAATACATCACATTATATCTTGACGTGACGGTAACGTTCCTTTTCGTGACGGCAACGCGACGTTACGGCCGGATTTCCCCTGAAATCTGCGCGTTACCGTGTACACGCATACTGTGCATTTACTAGCTGCTAAGCTTATCGCGCGCGTTGCTATTCGAGAGATATTTCTACCGGCGTATCTCGTGAACGTTACACAAAATGTATACGGAAAAAGATTATTCTATTGAAATAAATTAATTCCTGCACGGAGGAGAGAGCTACGCGCTGCGCGCGATAGAAGGTGCGGTGTGGCGAATTTATTAATAATTGTACGCGAGGAGAGAGCACGCGCTTAAACATCAACTGATTAAGATATCAATTGAAATACCGATACAAAAAACGTATGTGATATAAAACTTTGTAAATCCGTGAATGCATCTGAAATTCTCGATGTTTGGAGAAATATTTCATTAAAACGCGACAGTTCCTTTTGAATGCGCGACATGTTTTTTTAAATATTAATTCGCAATGTATCTTTTTTTGAATAAGCTTGATTTTTTATTTATTAAAAACTTTCGTTAGAAAAATAAATTTAGAACAAAATATGGATTGCAAAATTCTCGCTGGGAAAAAATGAAAAATCGTAACATATTTCAAAGGTATAGTCCTAGCGTCAACATTCTTTGTTTTCACGTTGAATTTCGTTAACTAGAAACGGCAGCCTTTGATTAAATTCATTTTTTAACATAAAACTGTGATACAAAAATCGACAAACGTGAAAATAGCACGTATATCTATAGTTCACGTAATTGTTTCGTTTCCATTTTCGGTTGGAGACAAAAATCATCAGTAATATATATATATATATATATATATGTAACGTAATTTTGCCAGTGCAATGTAAATATTTATTTGGAGAAAGCACTCTTCATATTATATATTATCATCAAATTACGAATGCTTCGAGCCAAATATCCACGCAATTTCTCTCATTAAGTTTTTATTAGCTTCATCTCATTCTATAATTTTAAAACAATGCCCGTATTATCACGCTTTTGCACGAGATGGCGCAATTGTGATTAAATGCAATTTAATTAAGTATCTTTCTGCCTCTTTGATAAATGTATCCGAAATGCGTCCCAGTGAAAATGCTCATGCCGCTGCTGTTTGAATAAACAAACGTTTGCATATTTATATGCGTGTTACGTTATATAAAGAGTATATTTTTCCCAGAGAAAAATACGAAAGAAGGGAAACGGGAGCATAAATCTTTGGGCATAACTTAAAATGTAAGTAGCGGTGCTGCTGCGCGCTATTCTGAGATAACTAATGCAACTGTTTCCCCGGCGTTGACGATAATTCATTCCGTTTCGCGTAATCCGCATTCTTACACTCGAATTCGCGATTCTTGATTAAGACGGGGGTAGGAAGTAGGCAACTGCAGCGTGGCGCAACTGCAGCGTGGCGCAAATACCTGGGGCGCACGCACGAACTATCGCCAACTCCGCGGAATTGCACTTCCGGATCAGCTGTGTGCGGGCAAGCACTTTCTCAGTTGCGAATTATATTTCGTCAAGTGCTTCACAAAGCCAGACAGCCGTACGCCGCGAATTTCCGACTGCACGATGTTTAGGGCGAGTTCGCGATTAGCACGGAATTGCATGTACTCCCGCTCGTTGCCGGAGTTGATTTCAACCTGGATGAAGATACTTGCTCTACTTGCTCCACTATACGCGTTGTCAGCGACAATATTTAACCACCGAAGATCCGTGAATTATCCGTAATTTAATCAGGTCGGTTTCAGGCGCGATTCACGTTGCAGAGAGATATTATACTCTTCAACAGCAAAAAAAGTATATATCAAGAAAGATTTTACACATATTGAGATTAAAATCTTGAGCTTTCACGAACTCAGAAATTAAAGAGCGTTTGAAGAACACTCAAATTTACATTAAGACTGGGACATTTGCATAAAGAATAGTAAAATAAATACATTGAAAAATAGAACAGAACTTATAATTGTATTCGCTCTTTTTTTTTTATCACAATCAATGTTAATTCTTTTCCTTCCGGTCCTCTCTCAAAAACTGCATCCGCGACGGAACTGACACATTCTTCGCGTTCTTAACATCTCGCCACAAGACAACGGTTAATCTCCGGACTTTAACGGGAGAATAGCTTCCGGGCTCGTAAGTGCCCATGAAGTTTAAAAGCGACGTAGACGTGCGCGTAATATCAAACTTCATCGATGATGGGATTAAGCATAATCGCCGCCGGCGCACTCTATTTCTCTTCGTACCTCCAATTTCGTCGAACTTTTCGAAATACTGGCCGACGTGTCGCGACGTGCCGTGTTGCGGATAATACGAAACTTCGAAACGAATGGATTTTCCGTAACGTATAAACGTCGCGCGGTCGAGGGTCCCCGCGTGCGCGGGTATTGTCATAAAATAACCCTCGTAATTGCCTTTCAAAACTTTTCGCTGGTAGAAAGCACTTCCGTGACGTGGGAGAGAGCCTGGGAGAGAGTTCTACCGCGGGTTCGCGAGACCGCCGCTCATTGAGTCCGTATCCGAGGCCTCTCTCGCCGTTGCAAGTTGCAAGGCATTTCCCCTCGAACGGGCCGCGGCCGCTGCTCGAGTATGCCCGTGCAAGCCTCACGTCATTCGTTTTCCGCTCGCGAAATTAATTCTCCTACTCGAATTCTTCCGCAGGAACTTTGCCGCGTTCCACGCGAGAAAAGTTCAGCCCGTGCAGCGCGCCTTTCATCGAAATTTCCGAGCGAGGAATGCCCGCCAATTCGAGCGACGATATTTATTTCCGTGCGGACGTATTCAATTAGAACTGCAGGTTCAATTGAGACATAGACTACTTAAACTATAAATATCTTCTTTTTGTAGCCCGGCTATTTTTGAATACCTGTAGCTGTACCCTAGATATTTCTTGCAGCGCTTATTTATATGTATATAACATACACGTAATTAAGTCTTTTTTTTTCAAATCATTTACCTACATTAAGTTTGTTCTTAAATATCTATAATTGCATGTTTGCTAGAAATGAATTAGCTGCACAATAAAATACTTTTACTATCATAAATGACTGTTGATATAAATTAATCTTATGCGATTGCTATATTACGCTTTGCGCTCAAAATAGGATGTTTAAATATGTATATACGCATATATGCGTGCATTAGCTCCGGACACGAAAGGGAAATATTAAGTTATTAATCACATCGTTCCATATGCAAATTAAATTATACGGATGTGGAAATAGCTGATAATAAGCAGTCACGACATTTTCACGTTTTATATTTCATACGATCCAATGCAATAACAATTTCTCGTATGACGAAACACCACCCCGCGATTTTCGCTTCTTCGCCGATATAATTGTTGTGATTGTTAATGCGAGCGAACGGATATACAGATGATTTGAGTGCACTTTCCGACGACGCGTGAAAAACGATCGGATTAAAATCTCCTTAGTGGAGCGCTACGTTGTTGACGCAATGGGCTCGCTATTGATTCGAACGACCCGTCGGTGGATCGAGTTTTATGGTCCCTTTAGCCGGAAGGGAGTTGAAACAAGTTCACTCCTC